TAATGTTCCAAATTTAACTTTTGTTGTGGAAATAAAAGACTTTTCTAAAATTGAGTTGTTTTCGGTTTTATTAAATAAAATAATGCAACAGGAATGTACATTATGGTATTTTCCACTAAAACTTCTGAAAAATTGTTATGTTTGGACTGTGTTTTCCTTTTTGTTTTTTTTATATATAAAAAATTAAAATTTAATAAATAAAATATATTTTTAAACAGGTTTTTCAATTATATGACCTTCTTATTCACATATTGTGTCACAGAAAATTAAAATATCCCATATTATATTTTCTTAGTTAATTTTTTATTTAATATCATTTACTTTTCCTAAGCAGGTTAACTTTTTTTATATTTTTTTTTATTTTTTTTATTTTTTTTACACGACAATATTCTCGGGGATCATTGAAATCTTCTTTTTTTAAATTTTCTTCAAATTAACTTGGCATTATTTAAAAATTTATTGCCTTTATTTTTTTATTTTTTTTTTCATTTATTTATATAAGGATTTAAATAATAAAAAAAAAATAATAAACAAGTTGATCTAATAATAATTTTCTTCCTTTAGATTCTAAAATTTATATTTATTTTTTTGGAAAATTAAATGTTTATATATTATATATATATATATATATATATAGTCTACATGAACCCAATATAATCTTTTTTTAATCTAAAATATGTTTATAGGCTAAAAGCATAATATCTTTTTTTTTTTTTTTTTTTTTTTTTTTTATTCTTAATTTTTTTTTATTAAAATAAATATAAAATAAATCGAGAGTATATATATATTATTTTTATTTATAAGTAAAAATAATTTTTAAGTATATTATTATCAAATAATGCTTTATAATAAGCAATGCTTTTAATTTTAAAATGTTTATTATCTAAAGGCAATTCTTATATATTAATAAATATGGATTTTTTAAAAATATATATATATGTATTAGTCTAAATCTTTTTGGTTTAATTTGTAAATGGAAATTAATTTTATGTTTTTTTATTTAAAAAATAATCTTAAAAATTAGATAATTATTGTAAATTAAAGTATCGTTATTTATTTTTTTTATTTTATTTATTTTAATTAAATGTATTTATAATATAAATAAAAAAAATAAAGATCATTTAAAAATATTATTTAATAACTTATATTATTTTTTTTCGTTTAATTTAATTATTAAAAAACGGAATAGATAAAAAGAGGTAAAAATTAATTGTATACATTTTTCTTTGTTTGATTGAATTTATATATTGAAAAAAAAACTGAAATTTAGCTTATATTAAGTCATTAATTAATTTGTTTTTTTAATAGATATAATTTATTATTAGTTAAAGCAATTTTTTCAATTATTTCTATTAATTATTTTCTTAAATTATATTTGTTTTTTGAATCTAATTATTTCTATATTTATATATTTATATATAAATATTATAAAATTATAAAAACTTATGGTTATGATATAATTTCTTAATATTATTAATTTTATAGTTATAATTAATTTTCTAAATTTTAAATATTAATATGAGATTCTTTATTATTAATCTAATTTTTTTCAATGGTGTTTAAAAAGTTTAAATCATCATTTATATATTAATCTTGAAATATTATAATATCTGAATTATTTTAATTTTTTTTTTTTTTTTAATTTTATGAATAAAAAATAAAATTTTAATATGAATTGTTTTCAGGAATTTTTTAATTATTAAATTCAGATTTACTTCTTTATGAATTTAATTTTAAAACTTTATTATTATTATTATTATTATTTTTATTATTATTATTATTATTATCATAATTTTTTTTTTATTATAATTATTAATTTTTTAATCTAGATCATTATTTATTTTATTATGTGTTTATAATTATTATTTTTTTAAAATTCTTTCTTATTTATTTTAATTTTCGATTAAAAATATTATCTTAGATTCCATAATACATATTTATTTAATTAATTCCTTTTTTTATATTTCATACTATTATCTATTTAATAATAATGCTTCTTCTTTAAAAAATAAATCTTTTTGTAATTAAGTAACCTCCTTTTCTAAATATTAAATTTATTTAATATTAACAAATTATTTTTTAATAAGAATTTCATTAAATTTTTAAATTTCCAATTTTTATAATTAAATAATTTTTTCCTTTTCTTAAATCCTTAATATTTCATTATTTTTATTATTAATTATATTTTGTTATTCTTTTATTTACTTTACAAAGCATCCATAGCATTAATATATGCTTAACTTAAAAATATTTATTTTATTTTTAAACTGACATAAATACTTATTTAAATATATATAATGATACACATATATATATAAAAATATAAATATAAAATATATATATAAATAATATTAATATTTATATATATATATATTTAAATAACATTATATATATATAATTATTTCAATTCTTTTTTAAAAATATAACTTAAGAAAAAATTCTGTAAAACTAAAATCTGCTGTCTAATAATCAATGGCTTTAAAAGAAGGTAATTCTGACTGAATTTTATAATCAGGCATTTATTTAGTATTTATTTATTGTTTTTATCTAAATGGAAGTCTATTTCTTCTCATTCTTAGTGTTTTACTTTCCATACCGTATTTTTTTTTCCAATTATAGAATTATTTTTTAGTTAAAAAATCCATTTTTTGTAATTTTTCAATTAAGTATTTATCAAAAAACTTCAAATATATTTATTTAGATACTTCCATACTAGAATAATAATATTTACTATATAAAATGCCAGAATCTTATAAAGACTATATTATAGGATCTTCCAAAAGTCTAGTTTCTGAGTATTTATTATATAAAAATAGTTATCCTTTATTATTTATCATACACTAGAAACAATCTAATAATGAAAAAAGTATTTATTAAGGATATTCGCCATCTATAATATCAGCTAGTGTATTATTTAAGTAAATGGAATTTAGTTTATTTAAAAAAATATTATATTCTTGTTCAAAAAACTCTGTTTTTTCTACTTAAAATTTAGATTCTTAAATTAAGGTTTTCTTAAAAAAATTATTCCATAAATATAGATTTTCACCAAAATATCTACCTAAAGCTTATACTTATTTGTTATTTAAAATTTCTTTGAAATGTTCTTATAAATGTTAGGTTGCTATTCCTTAAATTTCTATTACAGGAAATGCTGTATATTCGATATGCATCATCTCAAATAACTCCTTTGTGTAAAATCTACTATTAGAGCTTTCTATAAATATTGGAAAACTATCTCTTTCATATATATCATTGTAAAATCTTAGTAATATATGGTCCAAGAAGTCGAAAAACCTCTAATCATTTTAATAAAAATGGAAAAGACTGTCAAAATTTTCTAGTATAATCACACTTTAGGTATATTAATAGCCTTCTTTATTAAGAATATGGTAGCCCTGTAAATAATTGAGTATATCGAATAAAAAAGAGGATATATATATGCCAGAAGTAGCCTTTTTTTTACTAAAATCTTACTCAATTTAATTTAAAATTAAATTTAAAAAATATAGAAAATTTACAGTATTTTTTTCGAAAATTTCAGTGTAAATTTTAGTATAAATTTAATCGAAATTTTGCGGATTTTCAATATAAATTTCTTCTAATTTTTGCATTTATTGTTCGTCTAAAAAAGTGTTGATTTTATTTTCTAAAATTTTAAAAATAGTTTTTTTTGTTAAAATTAAAATGTAGTCTTTTTAAAAGGGAAATGTATAAATTTCATATATTATTTCAAAAAAAGACTACTTTTCAATTATTTCTGATATTTTTTCGATTAATATCTTCTCGAAAATTCTAAAAAAAACATCGAAAGATAGTATTTAGTAAGATCCGCAGTTTATTTCGATTATATTAAAATTTTCGTCCGTTTTTTTATGTAATTAATGCAAATTATTTTAAATAAATTGACTCTTTCCCACTTTTTATTTTCCCAAAATAAAACAAAGGTTAGCTTTGTTCTTTTCGTGGCCAAAATTGTTCAAACCATTAGTACAAAACTACTAAAAAATACTATCTTGAAGTTCATTTTAATAAAATTTTAAAGTTTTTTCTTATGTTTAAGTGATTTTTATATTTTATATAATATTTTAAGCTTATTTTTCAAAAATAAGATAATCTAATAAAGGATATATGTATGTATATTTATATTATTGTAAAATATCATATAATTTTTGTTTTAGTTTTATCATTATTATTTTTAGTTATAAAAATAAAATAAAGATATAAATTTATATAAAAATAAATATATTTATTTAAATAAATATATATATATATATATATATTTTTATATATTTTTAAATATATAATTATAAATATATATATATTTTTTTTTTAATTTTTTTTAAAAAACAATAATATATATAAAGGTAAATAATAATTTTAATAAATCTATTTTTATATAAAATAATTATAAAAATAATTATTAACGATAAAATAAATCTATTAGATATATTATTTTAATTTTAATACATTTAATATATAAAAATATGCATTTTTATTTATTTATATAACATATATTTAAAAATTTATTTATATTATGTATTTTTATAATTATGTATATATAATTATATATATAATAATTTAAAAGCATTAATTTTAAAATGAATAATAATTCTTTATTATATTAATCTGATATTAATAAAATATAATTAATGGAAATATAACAAAATTCTATTTAAATTTTATAATAATAACATAATGGTGATAATCCTATAGAATAATTAGATTTTGAAAGTAAAAGATAATCTAAAATAATATAAAACAGTTAAAGATAATCTTAAATAACTTAATAAATAAAAAATTAACTAAAAAGAGAAAGCCAAAAAGAATTTTTAGTCCGAAATTAATTAAATAAATATAAATCATATAAATCTTAAAAATCAAATTAACATAAACATATAAAAAAAGAAAAACAATATAACGAATAATTCGAGAATTCTATAAAATATACACAAACAATCGTTTAGAAAAAACAGACCCAAAACTAGGCTTTTATAGAGAAAAAATAATTAAATAATATCGAAAAAGCACACTAAATAATCTCTAAAGTATTCAAATTTTCATAAAATAGGATTGATAGGATTAATTAGCATGTCACTATATTTATATAGAACTTAAGAGACCGTAGTTATTCAAGAAAACCAATAAATTTATCAATTTATGATTATTAAGTAATTAATGATTATAGTTATTTTGCTCTTAAGAATTAGAATAATAAACTAGATCAGCTTTTCGATAAATTCGTGTATTTTTTTAAATTATTTAAAGTAAAAATTATACTACCAACAGATCTATTTTTGATTTTTTGGAATATATTCTAGTTTATAATTTCTTATCTTTTTTTCATTTATTGTTCTTTAATGTTTTTTTTTGGATAAAATACATAAGATTAGATTCATTTTAGAGTCATTTTTTGGATTATTTTAGTGGTTTTTATACTTGATTTGTGTATTAGCTTCAATACGGCGTTTTTCCATAAAGATTTGGTGATACATTAACGAAAATAAATAGCTAAAAAATACTTGGAGTCGTATTTTTTGTTTGATTTTATGAGTATTTTTGCTATTTTTTTTAAGCTTTTTGTATATAATTAATTAAGTTATAATCCAGATCATGATTTTATAATTTATTTGTATAATTTTTTAGTTTTTTCAAGAGTATTTACTATATAAAATAAAAGAAAATAAATACAAGAATTGATTACTTTAAAAGATAATTAAAAGCATATACTTAAACTTTTTGATTTATTAGGATTTATTATTATTACAGCACATTTTGGTAAAAATAATGTGATTATATATATATAAAAAAATTTATATATTAGTTTGTATAGAATGGAATTTATTAGCTGTATATTAAGAAATAAATGGATTTGAAATATATTGGGTATAAAAAGCTCATATATAAGATTCTCCATGGACAACCCGTTATGTTTAATCATTTTATTGGTCAGTAACTACAATGAGTACAGGTAAAGAAGACATTACATTACATAAATATAATATATATATATATATATATATATATATATATATATATATATATATTAATAAATAATGAATAATATATATATATATATATATTTATATATGTATATTTATTTTTTAGTTGGTTATGGAGATATAACACCTACTAATACTTATGAATAGATTTTCGCTTCTTTAAATATGATTATGTTTTCTTGTGTTTTTGCTTATTCAGTTAATAATATAGGTATGATTTTATAAGAAATAGAGAAGAATTCTAAAGAACTGAATAATAATTTGAGTACTATATAGAAATTTTTGAATAGAAAACAAGTAAATTTTCAATTGAAAAGTAGAGTTATTCATTACTTAAATTTCCTTGCAGAAGAACAAAAAGATAGAGATAAATAAGCTGAAGACTTAGTTTTTAATAAATTATCAAATAAACTACGAGATGAAATTATTACTGAAATAAATACGAAGATTTTAGTGAATTTTTAAATCTTTACAAAAAACTTTTCAATTTCTACTCTAAATAAGCTAGTTTTTCGTATGAAAGAAGTAATTATTTTACCAAACGAAATAATTTTCAAAGAAGAAGAAATCGATGATCAGTCTATTTATTTTATTGAAGATGGAATTATAGAAATTTTCCATTAAAATTTGAGGAGTTAAGGAGATTTAAATGTAATAAAAAAGTTAGGAAAAAATAGTCTTTTTGGAGAAATTTCATTTTTTTCAGGTTTATAAAGAAAAGCCTCAGCAAGAAGTGTAAATTTATCGACTTTATATAAAATAAAAAGACAGGATTTTTTAGAAATAATAATTAAAAATTCAGAGGATTATGAAAAATATAAAATGATTCAAGAATAAATTATTTTTTTGAAAGATTTTTCATAAATTAACCTAGTCTGTTATTCTTGTGGAGCAGAAGGACATTTAGGCTAAGAATGTAGAAAAACACATTAATATTTTGATAAATAATTTATTATTTTAAAGAAAAATTTCTCTATTTTTTAAAAAAGATTCACTTAAATATAAAGAAGGAAAAAAATAGAAATTACTAGCCTTTGTAAATGATATTATATATATATATATATCTTACAAAAAAACGATAAATATATATATACTTATATTTATTTATATATATATTCTTTTTATATGTATAATTATATCTAGATTTCTCATATAATTAAATAAATTGATACCAGAGATCTTTAGAGAAAATGCATAAAGCTTAGGATCCGAAATCATGCTTTTGTTTAAAATCGATTAAATGTAAGATTAAGTAAGTGAATATTCATCTAACTCTAAATCATCTTTAGTAGATTCTGTAAAATAATAATCGAAATCTGATTTATTTTTTTCTTATTCAAAAATTTCATCTTAAAATCAAGAAACAACAAACCAAGGATATGATAATTCACAAACATAAATATAATCATAAGATAAACATGATAAAAAAAATTATTTAAAAAGAGCTCCTCGGAGGTAAATGTCATTTACTTAAGATATAAACACAGAAACAGATTATGAAAATAATGACTAAGAAAATGAATATAAAAAGGAAAATAAGAAAAAAAAGACTATTAAATAAAATAATAAGACATTAAATGACGATTAGATGATTTATTAAAACTAATTAGAAAGTATAAATGAAGATAGTTAAATTGATTCATAATAAAGTATTAAATATGATAAAAAAATAGATGATTAGAAGGATTAGAAAAATCATTAATTAATATAAATGATAAATAGTATTATTATGTCACATTCAAAAGCCAATTAAAACGAATAAAAAACTTAAGATGATAAACAAGAACCTTTATAAAATTTCGATAGAATTAAAATCTTTAAAAAGTTTTTTCCGAATAATAATTTCGATAAAATTATGCATGTTAAAAATTCTAAAATAATATAAACATAAAAAATACTATAAAGTAATGCTGCTAATATGGTTGTTAATGAAAGAAGGGCTAATATTATAAATTTTAATCCTATAAATGGAATTTATGATTTCAGTAAGTAATTTCTATAAGCTAAATAGGTAATTAAAACGGAAATTACATCTATTTCATATGGAGTTGGAGTAAAGAAAATAAAAAAAACACCAATTATTCTAGAAAATAGTTTTTAAAATAAAACTTTTTTATTTAATTAGTAATATGATAATATAAGAAATAATTTTAAAATATGATAAATTAAAATATATTTTATTTGTAAATTTTTATATTAAAATAATAATTTTTTTTTTTTTTAAAATAAGCTTATTCATATATTAATATATTATTTTTTAGAAATAGATTTTAATTAAGTAATTTAATAAAAAAGATTAAAAGATAATAATATAATTATATATAAATATAAATAAATATTAATAAAAAATAAATTAAATATAAATATTAATATATTTATATATATATATTTAAAAAATTAAATAAATGTTTTTTTTTTTAATTTTTTATCATTGATTTATCTTTATAATATTTAGAATATAATAAATAATAATTTTTTCTAATTTAATTTCAATAATAATTTAATTTTTTTTATATTATATTTTTGATTTATTGTTTATTGTATTTCTTTTTTTTTAAAAAAAATTATATTTATTAAAAAATTTATTTATATAATTTTAAAGAATTTAAATTATGAAATTTAAATATTTTAAAGATATTTTAATTGAAATATATATAAAAATAAAAAATTTTATATAGATTTTAAAAATAAATTATAAACTAATATAATACATTTTTATTTTAAGTTTTATATATTTCTAATTATTTTTTTATTTATATTCATAAAATAAATTTAGATAAATATAATTTAAAAAAAAAAATCGAATTAAATTTATTAATTAAAAAATTATTATTAATAAAAAATTTTTTTTTAAATATTAATATAAATTAAGATATTTAAAATTAAAAAAATATTAATATAATTATAAATATAAAAAATATTAAATTTATTAATAAAATATAAAAATAAAATTTTGTATTTTATTTTAAAAATTAATATATAATTGTAATATTAAAATTTATTAAAATTGAATATATTTTTTTAATATCAATCTTAAATAAAAAATATTATTATTTAAATTATTTTATAATTAAAATTTTATTATTATTATATTTATTATTATATATTATTATTATTATTATTATTATTATT